ATCGGGTCGGGTCGGGCCATGCATGCTTGAGTTTGGGCCAGGTTTGCGGGTTTTCGGGTCTAGGGTCAAGGGCTGAGCTTTGTAGGGGTTTAGGATGTATTATAGGGGTTTATTTTACCAGGGAGATATACATTCGGTCAATTTTCGCTGTTGGAGGCGCGAGTCGAGTCAGAGACGGTCAGCCACGGAACGTGGTTCTGCTAGAATGCCTGCGATCAAAAGGGCATAGTCGTCGAGTAGGGCCCCCCAGGGCATGAAGAGCTCACGAAGTCCAGTGGTGTGCTGCAAGAGAGGAAGGTAGCAGCACATGCGGATCTGGGCCCTGAAGCACATGTGTTGCTGCATGACCACCACGGACGGCGAAGCCCACTGGCCCAGTTCAACCATTCGAGTGTCACTGGCTTCCACGCAGCTGAGGACAGCCGTAGCTAAAGTGAGTACATGCAGGTCCTGCCGACTCTGGAAGGGGCCGACAAAGCGTCGGAAGTCATAGCAGGCAACAGTAACTCGCAGCCATCGAGTCAAGTGTGCCAATCTCCATGCCTCGCGTTGCGACTGCTGCGGCATGGCCTGGTCCAGAGCTGTGAGGAATGCAGCTCCCAATGCCAGGGCATACTCGTCAGAGACCGGCAGCGACATGGCAACAGAGAAAAAGATGGTTATGGACGGGAAATCGCTTCATCCGAGCAGAAAGGTCAAGAAGAAGAGAGTTCCAAGGCCCCAGAAACCCGTTAAAAAAAAAACCCAGAGTTCAGCGTTTAGGGTTTAGGGTTGAGGGTTTAGGGTAAAAGCGTTAGGGTTCAGGGTCGAGGGTTTAGCATGAGGCAAAAAACCCAGAGTTCAGCGTTTAGGGTTTATAGGGTCGAGGTTTTAGGGTAAAAGCGTTAGGATTCAGGGTCGAGGGTTTAGCTTGAGGGTTTAGGCTAAGTTTGTTGAGATGTGTCCAGGTCCCGCCTGGAGCTCCTAACTTCGTCGTGCGGTCCGGAAGCGGAAAGAGTACCGTCTGGGAGTTGCTCCTGCGCAGGGTTGTCGAAGGATGAGGGGTTATGGGTTTGGGGTGCCCTAAACCCTATAAACCCTAGATCCTAAAGCCTAAACCCTAAAGCCTAAAGTCTAAACCCTAAACCCGAAACCCTTAAAAGTAACGGAAGAGCCTGCATTATGAAGGGCCAAGAAGTCCTGTGACATCCAATCAGGAAGCGTCCCAGGTGTGTGACGGTCTGCTCCCTGCGGTTGCGTCGTCCAGAGCTCCGCAAACCATCCCACTCAATGATTCCAGGTGTGAACTGCGTGGACATGTTGAGCTGCATCATTCGGGGCGCATTCGGGATGCGCAGGCATGTCGAAACTTCTTGTAGAGCAAGTCCACATACTTGTGACCTCGCCCTATCATGAGCGGAGCAGCGTCTTGCGGAATTCGCATGCTGAAGCAATACATGGCCAGCACCAAGCCTTTGCAATCCAACATCTGGCCTGCAGAGAGGAAGCTGTAGAGGGGCGTGTACAGTAGGCCAGTTTCCAGTGCAGACCTGACCCAAAACGCATCAGTTCGCAGTTGCAAAAAGGATGCGAAAAAACAACGAAACCCTCCCGAAACCTGGCAGGACATGCTGGCAGAGCACGTGGACGATGAGCAGGACATGCCTTGGAGGGGCAACGAAGGATGCACGGACTCTTGTCCTGCACCATGCCCATGCCACAGCTCCAGCAGACACGGTTGCGGGGACTGCCGAAGAACTTCGTGGATGCCTACCAGACCTGAGGGAAAGGAAGCCCGGCAAAGAAAACCAAGAATACCTATAGTATAGGAAGACCCTGAGCAGTCTTTATTACGCGTGGAGCTACAGAACCCACCGAATCCGCCTGGCAGCGCCGCTCAGACCACGCGCAGAATGCCGCTTGTCTGCCGCAGGTCACGTAGCCGCTGTCGTGAGGAAGCTGCGCGACGACAGCCGCCGTAAGACAGGCCCAGGCGCCGAAACGCTCGGTTCACCCCCGTCGATTGGCGAGGGTCTGGGAGACCGCTATTTGCGAGTGGAAGCACCACCATCTTTGAGAGAGCCTTTCATGGCGACCCCGAGTCTAGCCAGGAAAAGGCCCTTGGAGAAAAAAGCTGCCGCAGACACAGGCAGTGGCAATCGTGCCAAAAGCAACGTCAGACAGAGACTGCGAAGAAACAACCTGCAGATGCACATGTGATTTCTTTACTTGGTCCGCGCGGCTCCTCCCCGAGATCCCCTTGACAGCGCGTAATCTAGGCAAGCATACGCGGACTTCTGGTCCTGTGGTACCTTGCCAAACAACCCCTGTGGAAACGGCCACTCGTACCAACACTTCTGTTGGTCGTGCCTCGGCCAAAACTGAGCACACCTCAAGCAAAGAACTCCACGACGAGCTCCAGAAGCAATGAGATGCGGCTGTAGCGACCTTTTGGGATGTCTCGGACACCCTCCCCACTTGAACCGGGTCTGAGTAGGGTGGAAGAAAGGAACGGAGTAGTTGACCAGGTCTCGCTCTTCCTGTAACTGTTTCCGTACACAGGTCGGCATTGCCGTGGAAGCGGGCCTAGGCGTTGGAGCCGAAGGTGTCAACATCCCCGAGCCGAAACTGTGGAGAAACTGCACGCCGTCACTGCTACTGCTAGTGCTCGGGCTCACCTCCTCGACGACTTCCTCGGAGCTGTCCTCGCAGCTGGGGCTAAAGTCCTCGATGGGCTCTGGGGCGTCCGAGCAGCTCTTG